ATAGTGCCATTATCCTATTTGTTACACTAGCTTTGTAGCTCCCAAAATTTCCTTGAATTATAGCCTCAGAATTTAACCAAGGTCCCCCACCCTAACCATCCATGGCTGAAATCATCCTTAATAATTTTCTCTGACTTGATACATAAACAGCAATATATTGACTTTATATTCCATCTGGATATGACTAATAAATTTGGGTTACTCAGCTTTAAAATTGTTTTGGGAACATAAAATTCATTTAACTCATCAATTACGTAGCTGCAGTCACTGTCATTTGGCTCTCTGGAATATAAATAACTCGTTCCAGTTAAGCGACTGAGTCGCTGTTTTTATAAATTTTATCAGCTGAGGGATTATTACAGATACATGCAATTGTAAAGTAAGACAATCAGTATCCATGCATTCCACAATATATCTATTCTGTAGCTTAAATGTCTTTGTAAAAAAAGGATTCTACAAAATGCACAAATATTTCCTGAGGCTTAACTTACTATGTATGATGTATTGCAATGACTTTCCTCTTTATCAACTGGTAATTTTTAAACAGGTGCCAATCCTCAAGGTTAGAGAGTAAAGAAGCTGCATAATATAATGTCATATCCACATGTAACACATGCCTAATAGAAACATCAATTTTTAACTCATATATATATAAAGCTATGAAAAATCTATTTTATTTTTGAAAAATTATTAACATTCAACAAGTAGTTCTAATAAAGGTAATGTTTAAGTAGTTAATTTTAAACAAAGGAAAAATCCTTGTCTGATTTCCCTTTAATGATTTTACACTGTGAGGTGGACAGCATTACATACACATATAAAATTCTTCTAACCTGGAAATTTTAATGGTGTTCTACAAATGGTTGTAACAAAAAATGGGTGTAAATTTAAGGCAAATTTTTTTTCTTTGCCTTTATTCATCACAACAAAAGCAAAAAATGTTTATTTTGTTCAATACTATTCAAAAATACACAGACTATTTCATATAGGAACTCAATGCTCCTAAAACACATTTTTCCATTATTTGAAATAACACCTATCTGGGAAAAACAATGACTGAGCATTCCTACCTATTTAGTGAATCCATGTCTTAATGTACAAAGAGCAAATAACAGCTCCTGACTTTATATGTCTGAAAAGAACTACTCCCACCAATTTGCATGATAAGCTAATTCACAATTGTTTATATTCTGGAAAAATAGGGAACAATGGAAAAGGAATTCTTGTGTACTTATTTTTCCACTCACTGTAGTCTTACACACACACACACACACACACACACACACACACAGAAGCAAACTTCCCAGTAGTGACTACTCAGTGCGTATGTTCTACATGCCAGACACACTCTTCATGCATGAAATGATTTCATTTCTAACATAGTATGTCCGATAAAAAAGCAAAGAGGTTAACTGAGCTTTCCTATTCATGCATACATAGGGATTTGAACCAGGGCAATCCAATTTCAGAGTCCTTAAATACAACCTCCTTGATGAAAGGCTTTGAAAGTTCCATTATCCACTTCATATTAAAATACATATTTCTCCCCACGAGTTCTGTCCAAAAGCAATCTATCTCATATTGAAGACTTGGTAAATATGATATATCTGTCTAAATCAATGAAAGAAGGTAAGTGATGAATTAAAATAATCAATAAAAGTTGCTTTACAATACCAAAATTAAAGATGAATTAAATTATTTCTTAAATTATTGCTTGCTCCCCCTCAGTAATAAATACATGGACTCACAAAAGAAGAAAAAATAAAGAAATGAAACCATTATCATTTCATAGTAGAGAAAGCAAATCAGTTTTCATAGCCAATTCAATGATGGGCCAGCAATATACTTTCATTTCTTACAGGAGATTTCAACATATTCATTTACTTTGTATAAACACTTTCTAGGTTCAGAACAAATTTTTGCAAATAAAGCACCATACATTTGGGTGTATTTTTGTTATCTCAGCTACAGGACTAAATAATAACATTCTCTCTTAAGAAGAAGTTATTGACAATTTACTAAAATGGCATAAATGTGTACAGAATAGAGCAATGATAAATTGAGCTAAATTTCAGATAAATTCTGTATTAAATCATATGAAGTGATTGTATATGTTCCCTACTTCTTTCTTCTACATTTTAATGTTTATCTCTTTTTATTCTTTTCTTTTTAATAAAAAATATATAATATCTGTTATGTTTATTTAGGCTTAAATATTGTCAAAAGGATAACCTAAGCAACATATTCTGATATTCTGAGCTGAGTATGCAAGGTAAACATCAAACAGATAAATATTTTACATTCTAAGTAATAAAAACTTAATGTAAATGAAAAATTCATATTCAAGCTTGACCTAAATGTAAACTTAAAAATTATTGTGTCCTCACTTTTTAAAACTGCTGTTTGTGTTCACTACAAAAATATGTTATTGCTTGTGAAAAGGTGAAGAAATTTTTAGATTTGTTTATGCCTAAGCAACATTATCTTTGAATGTTGACTACTGGAATAGTGTTACCATTTTAATATAGCAGAAGTATCATATAGTAAAGAAATGTATGTATGTATGCATATATGTATGTATGGATGTATTTATGTAACCTAAATTTTAAAACTTATGGATTTGGGGGACTAATTTGATTTGATAGATGCTTATCTGAAACAATGATAGAAAAATAGCCAAGATATAGGTGTCTGTGGGCTGCTGACTCCTTTACCTAAATATATACCAAAAAGCTCAGCATGTCTTCACTGCAAATGGCAAATTAAATATTAACAATGTAAAACCTGAACTAATACAGGTGGTATCTGAATTTTTATCTGGAAGCTATTTTGGATACATATTTAGATATACCAGGTTTTTCAAATATGCTTTGAGACTAAAAATCAGAAGTACTATTGTAGAGGTTCTGACAGAATGATGAATATGGCAAACTTCCAGCTTGACAGCCACTATATATTTACAAAATAATTTTATTTTTCTTAGATACATTAGCTATAGAAAATCAGAATAGGCAAAATAAAAAGTATTGTTGCTACTGTCTTTCAAAGTTCTATCTCATACAGATTATTCAAGAAATAATACAGTTTATGCCCTTTTTTGCTGTTTTAAATGAATAGGTATATGCCAATTTTTAGGAAACTAAAATACCTCTTCTCCTTTTACCCAGAACTCCAATGTTAACATGCATTGCAATTAAAATAAATAAAGTAGGGCCTCCCTGGTGGCGAAAGGGGTTAAGACACAACCTATGAAGTTATCCGCAACCTATGAAGTTATCTGCAGCCATTGCTGCACGAGTTCAATCCCCAGGCCAAGGAGGTGACCCACATGGCACAGTAGACCTCTCCTGACTCACCCGCTGCTCAGCTCAGCAGTGTATTTCAGTCAATCTGCCTGTTCTGTTCCCCACTCTGTCTCTGGTGAATCCTCTCACCCCCTCACACTTCTGGCCTGTACTCCAGTTCTTGTATGCATAAATAAAAAAATTAAAAAATAAATAAATGAATAAACTAAATAAACAAATCTTGCATGGGTTATCTGAAAAATTCAGAGATAACTAATAAGGATAAAATATATTGCATGGTGGGCCTCCCTGGTGGTGCACGTGGTTGAGCGCAGCACTGTGAAGCTGTCTGCAGCCTCTGCAGCACAGGCTTGATCCCAGCTGGCCAGGCATATACCCACATGGTGCGGCAGACCTTTCCTATCGTCCCCGCTGTTCCCCTTAGTAGTGTATTTCCATCATCTGCTCTGTCTCTGGTGAATTCTCTCAACCTCCTGCACCTCTGGCCTGTACCCTGGTTCTTTAAATAAATAAATCTTTTAAAAAAATAAAATGCATACTCCATGCTGGGCTTCTCCCCATAAATACAGCTATATGGCAACTACACAAACATAAAGTCGAGGGATTTGAGAACATTCTGGGCATAACAACAATGATACGTTTTCCAAAAAAAAAGTGAAGATTAGAAGGGAATACAGAATAACTTTTTTCTTATCAAATATAAATTCTTTACTATGCCTGTGCTTATTAAATAGGAGTTAAGCTTTCTTACATTCTATTAGTTTGTATGTGCATATATACAAGATTGTGTTAGTGTGAAAAAGTCTATCTCAGAATTGTACAGATAAAACTGAGAAAATTTCAGATTATTTATTTATTTATTTAAAGATTTATTTATTTATGCATATAAGAACAGGGGTACAGGCCAGAGGTGCGGGGGGGTGCTGGTGAGAGGATTCACCAGAGACAGAGTGGGGACCAGAACAGGTGGATTGATTGAAATATACTGCTGAGGGGAAGAGTGGGTGAAACAGGAGATGTTTGCTGTGCCATGTGGGTTGCTCCCTGGCTGGCCAGGGATCGAACTTGTGCTACAGAGGCTGTGGACAGTCTCAGTGCTGCGCCCAACTCCCTGTGCCACCAGGGAGGCCCAAAATTTCAGATTATTTTATAAGCCATGTTCTAATGATACCTGCTTAAAAATTTATCTGCTTCTATTTTTGTTCTATAACACTTCGTTATTTGTATTTTTCATTATAAATTAATAAGTCAATGTTGTCTTCTCTGTCAACATTTTAAGAGATTGGTTAATAAGAGTTAACATTCCAAAGTTAGATTATCTCTGGATCAAGTAAGAAAATCATCTTTTGTTATTTAATAGCTAAGAACAGACTTTGGCTATGATAAATTCAAGATATTCCCTGCCTGGTCTGAAACAGTTGACACCATTTAAAATGATCCTAATCCTTTTACTAGTATATAAACTCAGTGTGCCTATAATATAGAAAACAAACAGAACACTTAGAAATTAATAATGGAAAATTTACCACGCTAGAGAAACTATAAAGCTTAAGAAAATCTGTTCATAGACTATAATATGTCCAGATGATGCTAACTGAAAAAAATAAGTGTAAAAGACATAGCATTTTTTAGTTGAAGAAAGTGAGGGATTCAAGATAAATTAACATAATACAATAGAACATCGAGGGTGGCTACCTGTGAAGCCAGCTGAAGATAGTATAGTCAGTTCACCTTAAACATGAGCTCTTCATCTGCAGAGTTAATCAACTGCCTATGGAAAATATATAGAATAGTTAGGCCTAAAATTATTGCAGCTGGACTAAACATGTACAGGTTTTCTTCTTTTTCCCTAAACAGCAGAGTATAACAACTATTTGCATATCATTTGTATTACTGTAGGTATTACAAGTAATCTACAGATGATGGTATAAGGGAGGATGTGCTTTTGTAAATACTACACCTTTTACATAAGACAGTTGGATTTTGCCATCTGAGTGGGGAATGATTCCCCCATCCATACCAAAAGAGAACAGTAGTTATTATTATTGACATTATCCCTAGTATAATATTCTAGCCAATGAAGGTATATTTTGCTAGAAGTTACCTTCTGAGGAGTCTTGAAGATGGTCCTAGGTGTAGTCAATGAAGCTAAATTCACCTTTTAACTATAACTTCAGCAGATACATCAGCAAGTCGAAGGCCACACCCTTTAAAGTCTGGGAATTTCTCTTTTTCTCCCTCTTTTTTCATTGGAGCCACGTCTATAAAGAAAATGCATCAATATGACATACTTCATCAGCATAATTCTAATTTTTATCGTCAAAGATTAGGTCATTCAATAAGGCTTTATTGTAATCTACTTTTACCCTATGAAGACATGGTATTTAATTATTAAACAAACATATTACATAGAGCACGTTTGATTGCAAAAGAAGCCATCAACTTAGAACTGTAGAGTCGACAACATTGGTTTAGACTAAAATAGTAAGAAGATAAAATTACTCGAAAATTTATGAGCCTTTCATAATTGACATTATGAATAATTTGAGGCAATACATATAATAATGAAAACATTTAATTATTCACATTCACTACTAAATATGGTATTTAGAGTGAAATAACTGATAGGCAGATGTCTATTCTATATGCTTCAGATTTGTATGGGTATCATTGTTTTGAATTCTAAGAGGAGAAATTTGCCACATGAGTAGAGCAACCTCACCATTACAGTAAGGAGACTTACAAGAACCCTAGAACCAGCATGTAAAACATATGATTGAACTGAGCATGTTTTGAATTGAATAAAAGGTAATCATTTATTTTAAAGTTCTTGAACTGTTCTGTGTAGGAAGAAGGAGGGTACTTTTTTAAAACCTCCAATGATAAAGTTAGACACCTGTAAGAAAAATGAGTAGATATATAAGGTTTAATGGATGCAGAATTTTTCATTAAGGAAGTAAAAACTTGAAAAAAATTGCCAGCATAATTAAAATATCAATAGTGAGGTTTCCTAAGAGTTTAATCTTTACACTGGTAGTTGACTTATGCAAAGTTTAAATGGCCTGCCAATTCCTGAATTCTTGATTTATAATGATTCTATTTATTATTTTACTCATTTCATCCACTAAATACTTCATTTTTTTCTTGTTAGATAAGTATGATTTGTTTTATCAATCTAATTCACACTACTTTTCTTCTATCAGAAATTTTATTCCAGTTCTGATATTTTGTCATATCCCTTTTTTTACATTATATTAATATAATTCTGTCACTCCTTTTATCCTTGTTTTGCCCTAGGCTCTAGTAGGTAGTGACATGGAAGACAGGACTTATCATGGGAAAGGAACATGCAGCCTTCATTTTAAAACACTGAATCATTTTTAGGAAAAGTGATTTACTGAATTGAGGGTAGTATGAAGTTTTCACCTAAATAAATTACATACTTTTAAAATAAAGACTAAAAATATAAAAACAATATCAACAGAAACAAAATGCCATTTAGTTTTAATTTCATAAACCAGTCTTACAAAAAGAAAATCTCAGTCTTTAGCTAAACACATTAACAAGGTTGGGAGTGTTCCCCACATCTAAGATGTCATTACTAAAGACAAAAATTGATATACACCTGAAAGTAGTTAAATGGTATTTGTTAATTACATATCAATAGAAAATCAAGCAACTAATACTATACTGAGTCACTAAAATAGTGTTAGGATACTTTTGCCATTTTTATTTATTAAAAATATTTTTCACTTGTACTATAATGCTTGTGTGTGTCTTTTGCTATTGAGTAACATTCACATTTGAAATATATTAAGCTCTTAAAGCTGAATCTAAATTGTAGTGTTCAATAAAGAGTATATGTGGTGTGGAAGTGTCATATCAGGCTGAAGCCAGAGACACAGGGGTGAAAGAATTCACCAGACACAAAGCGTAGAACAGAAAAGGCAGATTTATTGCAATACCCTGCAGCAGAGCAGGGGTATACATCTGTGTGGGAAAAAAGGATTTAAAGTTCATTTTTACATTCTAATTTCTGGGCTTTCTTACTTGGGGTGCCAGTTTGCACCAGTTATCTGCTGGGATACCTTACCTTGGGGGTTGCCTTTGACACAGAATGTGTCCTTGCCCTGCTGCTGAATCCCTAGAGGAGGGCTGGCTTTTCTGATCAAATTGTTGGGCCCAGGGCCTGGTTTCCATGGCGACATTATCTATTCAAGCCCCCAAACTTGCCTTCTGGGCAAGGAATGGGGCCTTAGTTTTTAAACTGATTAAATGATACCCTCACATACACTTGGTTTTCTGCTAGGTGGGCATAATTAAGTAGAAACCCTGAAATTCTAGCACCATACCCCGTAAATCAGTAAGGGCTAATGTCAATATAAAAAAAAAAATCATTAATTGGATTCACGTTTTAGAGTGAAGCTGTATATATGGCAAATACAATGAATACTAGTGTTTTAAAACTCAGTGGTTTAAAACATGGTCCAATTCTAAAATAATTTTAATATTTAATAGACATAGACTGGCACACTTAGCCCAAAGCAAGCTATAGAATATATTATGTAAATAAATTCAACAATAATTATAAACTATATTAAAATGTCTAGAATAAGATTAGAAATAGTCTCAGTGATCAGATGTCACTCTTATCCTCAACCCAGGAAATTTTGTTCTATATGGAATCACATGACTGTAATGACATCAAATTTTAAATCCTTATTTTAACTATTACCTTTGGTTTCAACATTCTAATTAGTCAGCAACTGAAATGCATAGTAAAGGAGTTTATTGGTAAATTAGTAAATTAGTAATATAAAAAAAGAGAAAATACAAATGAAGATGCTTATTACACCAAAGGAGAACTTAAAGAGTATCAGGGATTCTTTTGTTTTAGCTTTTATACTTCTTTCCATTCAGGTTCTTTCCTGAAAAATTAATTTCCTAGGACAGAAATCTGACTTCAGGAGGCAGAGGCTAATCCACAGTAATTTTTATGTTAACTGTTTAAAGCAATAAAATATATATGTATGTATTTGTTGGGAGTTCATTGAATATTACTTATTAAATAACTTCAGGTTTAGCTTCAGAGTGTTTGACACACATCCAAGAAAAACATTGAAATATTGATTTAGGCAGCTGGACTTAGTCCCACCAGTTCTGGAGAAAATTCTCCACTGAAAACCATTTGAACTACCAGCACTTAGTTGAGTAAGTGCATAGCTACATGGGCAAAAGTAGAACGTTAGGATCTAAGAGTAGAACAGATCCGTGAAAAGCAATGCAAATAAAGAGTAGAAGAGGAATGACTTCGTGCAAAATTATTTCAAGAGGACTAGTAGTAAATTCATTCTTAATGTGCAAATTCACTGTAGAATATTTACCAGAAATTATTTACAGAGAAACACAGTGGCATGGGCAGTACTAAAGGGAAAGAAGTTTGTCGATTAGCAAGACAAGAAATTATATTCGTCAGATGGAAAAATAGTTAAGAGGGACACAATTAATGGGGACTAGAACAAGATGAGATGATAATTATCAAATAAAAATAATTTCTTTTCATTTTTGTAAAATTTGTGAGAACTTTGCAGAAGTTGGATGACGAGTTCTAGCATCTTTGTGGCTCGTGGAGGTAACCTGGTGAAGTCCAGCAATAAAGGAAAGACACCAATTATGGGTGTACGAGTCTTTTCAAAAGACACAAAGTTGGGGCCTCCCTGGTGGCACAAGGGGTTAAGCATCAGCACTATGAAGCACCAGTTGGATCCCAGGCCAGGGAGGCACTTGGCACAGCAGACCCACCCTGTCTCACCCACTGCTCCCCTCAGCAGTGTATTTCAGTAGTTCTGCCTGTTTTGCTCCTCACTCTGTCTCTGGTGAATCCTCTCAAACCCACCCCCACATCTCTAGCCTGTAGCCCTGTTCTTGTATGCATAAATAAGACACAAAGCCAATAAATCCTATTGATATGCCCCATCTCTACTTACTATAACTTCAAGACAAACAAATATTTAAGCCAAGGGTTTATGTGCGCCCTGAGTGAGAATGGAAAGATTTCCCAGATTCATCTCACAAATACTGAATTAGTTCTTTGGTGTTAATTGCAACAATTAATACAACTCTGTTGCAAAAACCCCAATGCCTTTGTTTAGTTATTCCCAAGAGTGCAAGGAAAAAGAGCCATGTTATTGAAACCAATTTCATGGTAAAAATGATTTTTAAAAATTGTACTGAAAATGATGCTTCATTAATACAAATCAATAATGCAATTTGACTGCTAAAAAGCCTAATGTAATCTCAGACTGCACTAATTGAACCGAAGCATCAACACACAGGAAATCGTATTTCTAACATACTTGAGTTTATTAAAAAATTACTTTAAAATATATGTATCTCTAGCACATACACTTTGAGAATGAAAGCATGCTAGACTTTACCACATAAGAGAAAATTAGAAATCACACAACAGCTAAAGCAGTTTTTTCCTTGTGATTCTGAGCTGGAGCTACTTTGCCTGATTGTCTGGAATGTTATTTCTCCTATAGTCTCACGAGGATCCTTTTGTATAGGTTTTAGCTCAAATATCACACCCCAAAAGATGAATGCTTTGATCACTCACTGTATCTAATAGCAATGCTTCTTCATCTTGTTTATTGATAAACATAAATTCATAAAAATATACATTATTTGATATTCCTGTCTCTATATATTCCCCATCTAGAGAATATACTTTACGAGAGGAGAAATTTTCTCTGCCCAGCTTATTCCTATATCTCCTGCCAAGCACTGCACTTGGCACATAGTAAGTCATCGACATCTACAAATGAAAAGTGCTTTAATAGATTGAGGATATTTGGGCTAAAGAAGTTTAAAGGGAAATAGAATGCTTCATTAAAATAGTCTGTATTATTCAGAATACACATGAGTCAGAATACTTTTCATTTGAAAGGGGACGCATTTCATTTCAATACAGGGAACTATTTCCATACAATTAAAATATTCTTCCATGGCAAGAGTTGCCTTATGCAGATGGAATAAGACCAAAAAAAAAAAAAAAAAAAAAATTCAAGTAGAAACTACATGCTCATTTGTTCATTAAACTGTAAAGGCTTGAGAAATGGCTGAGGTGACCTTTAAGAATCCTCGAAACACTTAGATCTTACTGTGATATAATCCATAATTTGCTGCACACTTTTACTTCAAGAAGTTCTCAAAAACATTACCAAGCAGTATAATATTCTATGCATCCCCTTAGGTGCAGCACCAGACTATTAATACTGCATCTCTTGGGCCTCAGTGGTGGCACAAAGGGTTAAGACACAGCACTATAAAGCCATCTGCAGCCACCGCAGAAAAAGTTAGATGCCTGGGGGGGAGGTCGGGGGTGGGGTGGGGGAGTGACCAACATGGCACAGCAGACCTCTCATGTCGTGCCCACTGCTCCCCTCAGCAGTGTATTTCATCAGTCTGCCTGTTCTGCTCCCCTCTCTGTCTCTGGTGAATCCTCTCACCACCCCTATAGGGGCAGGAAAAGACACTGAGCAGGTTTTCTGATCCAGCAGACCGGGTAAAGGAGGAGTCAGAGTCCTCAGTGGTTTTTGCAGGTCTTTGATATAGATTTACCAGGCATATGGTAGGGAGGGGTGCTGGGGGTCTGGGAGGCTGACAGCCCTCCCAGCCTCCAGCAAATTCTCACTCTATCTGGGCTCTCTCTGGCGTTCTCTCTGCTTCTCTTCTTCTTCTCTTGGCTTCTGCTCATTCTTGGCTTCTGCTGGCATCCCCATGACTCCACCCTCATAAACTCAGTCTCTCAGCCCAGGTGTACCCACTCCAGGTACCTGCCATCAGGCATGCATTCAGGACCACAGGGTTCCCTCATCTATCTTAATGGCGGGAGGGCAGAAAAGTCTGATACATTTCACCTACCCTATAGCCCCCCACACCTCTGGCCTGTATTCCAGTTCTTGTATGCACAAATAAATAAATCTTTAAAAAATATATTGCATCTCCTCATAGAGTTGAAAAAAAAAATATTTTCATGAACAGGGGAATAAACCTAAACACACAGTTAACCAAAGCCAGAAATAACTGCATTACAGGTTTCCCTGCCCTCCCAGCTAGAACCAGGATGAAGCCTCTCCTGAGTGGAAATGGTGGAAGCAAAGAAGCAATAACCCTTCCCTTCCAAGTAAAAAATGTTTTAACCCTCCCAGACTTAAAGAATAAACTAGCAAATAACCGTCAAACCTAACATAAAACTCACAGAGTCAAAGCTGGATGCAATGACAAAGACCCAGTGTGCAGAGAGAAGCTCCTGGAGAAGGAGCTTGGCGGAGCTTGAGCTGGGGCAAAACCTATGTGGGGCGCAGGAGACCCGCGCAGACGCAGTGAGACTGGCGCAGGCGCCTTGAGGTCCACGCAGACGCACAAAACTCGCGTCCGGCACAAAACTCGCGCAGACGCAGTAAGAGCCACGTGGACACTTCAGAGCCCACGCGGACCACACACTCCACACAGACGTGGTTTTTGCTTTTCAACTTTTGTCGTAAAATGTCTTCACCTGGCCAAAACACGGAGCCAGAGCTTCCTAAAAGCAAAGTGGCCCCTCACAGACTTTCAGAAAGCTTGGACACCTGCCTTGACTGAAATTCTGTGGCGGGTATGGTTGTTCTCCTTGTTACTCGATGGTGTTTTTTCGACTTGTAAGATGCAGAACTATATATAATGATGTTATCCCTAAATTCAGGCAATTTTTCAAAACTGTTTTGTTTCCTGTTGCCTCTTCGTCAGGAAGGATGTTTATCCATGTTCTACTTACCCTGTTAAATTGAACCCCCTACAAGGTATCTTTCTATTTGATAGATTTTTTATTTGGGTTTCCAAGTGTGCGTTTGTTAGTCAGGGTTATTCTCCTTAGAAGTAACAGAAAATTACTCAGTTATTTCAAGCCAAATGAAGACAATTTACTGGCTCATAGAACTAAAATTCCCTGAGGTAAACCTGGCTTTTATCAGCTGAATTCAACAGCTCCTTCTTTCTCTCCCCACCACCTAACTGGATATTCCTTTATTGACTTCAAGGCAACACAGGCCACCGTCCAGGGAATTATTGAATTCGTTATGACCTGCTTCCCCATCCCAGCAAAAGTGAATTAATCTTTTTTTTTTGAATATTTATTTATGCATACAAGAGCTGGGGTGTAGGCCAGATTGTGGGGGTGAGAAGATTCACCACAGAGTGGGGAGCAAAAGAGGCAGACCTACTGAAATACACTGCTGAGGGGAGCAGCAGGTGAGACAGGAGAGGTCTGCTGTGCCATATGGGTCAGCCCCCTGGCCAGGGACCAGACAAGTGGCTGGCTGTACTTGCTAGCACTGTCTTTAACCCCTGAATTAATGATGCCCCTGAATTAATCTTTTCCAAGATTTCTAGCAATTCCTGACCTTTGACTTCTATTGGGCCAAATTGAGTTGCATGAATTATTCTGGAAAGAACTGAGTCTGAGCCAATCCTATCATCCTGAAACAGCATGAACTGACAAATGGGTGGTGAGAACTTTGACCTCAAGAAGAAACAGCTGCCAGGCTCAGTTACTGGAAGAAGGAGAGATATAAAACAATAGCCAGTAACACAATAGCCATTCAGAACTCTGCCTGCAGTTGGGGACTTAGTGAAGTTACCTTTTTCTTAGCTTCACAGCCCTAATTTCAAAATCAAATTTTCCATCTCCTTCATTTTAATTCTTCTTTTTAAATCGTCTCCTAATTTTTCTGTTTCCTGACACAGTCTTCCTTCCCTTATATGCTGGTTTATTTTCATTGCTCATTTGTGGTTCCATTATACCCTTCTTGATGCACAGTGATCAAACCACATAACCATTTATATAAAAGTACAGGATAACTTTCTACAAGTTTCTGATGGCTTTCAGGCAAGCCATTTCATTGGTCTTTAAAATTGATGCTGAACTTTTCTCATCTTCTTACAAAACAAATGAAAAAAATTATTTTTATTTTATTATCTAGAATTCTGTTCTAATATAATTTTACAAGTGTTCATTTTACAGATGTGTTACATTGGAGTTGTTCCAACATAATGTATTTGTTTATAGACCCCAGATTTTCTCTCGATAGATAGATAGATAGATAGATAGATAGATAGATAGATAGATAGATAGATAGATAGAATGGTAGATAGATTACCACATTTGATCTAGATAAAACTAGTCATCCTAATGGCTAATATCTGAAAGATAACAGTTAAAAAATGATGGTTATAGGACAATCTTATTTTAAAAAATGATGGTTATAAGGACAATCTTAAAACCCTAAGGAATTTTGTAGATCTTTATTATAGATTGCTCTAAACAGCATACAATATATACTACAGAAAAATTTCCTTTAGCCATCAATTTCTCTCATCAAAGTTTTCCAGGAAAATTCCAGAGGAAGAACACTCACCCCCGACCCCACACACACACACAAATCCTCAACTAGTGTCTCTCCCCTGCCTAATACACACACATTCCACATTCTCTTACCACACAACCTGATTTCTCCCCATCCACCTCTCCTTTGTCTTGTGTCTCCAAGCATCTGACCTAACCTGACGGAAATCAGTCTTTGTTTCTGGGTGATATTTGAGAAACTGTTACTTGGTTATAATTATGAAAAATTACTTGCCTTGTTCTTAATAACCAGATTTCAAAACATTTTAGGTTACCCTGAAATTTGAGATTTCACAGTCTATATCCTTCAGAAAATATATTAAGATGTAAAATGAGATGATTATTAGCACCAATCACTAAGAAATCACCTTTAACAAATCTTCCATCTTAACTTCATGGCATGTATCCTGCAAACAGACAGTGTATAATAAAAGTTAATACTGGAATCAGAGCGATGTAGAAATGTTACACATTTCATCTCCCTTATCTGTAACATAAAAATATTAATTTAAGTCTCATAAAATTGTAAGGAGCAATTGATGTAATACATGACACATTGTAAATATTAAACACTGGGGTTTAGTATTTCTTATCTGAAGTCATAAACTATTGCATTATTACACAGCTATCAATGAGCCCCCAGATTTGAAAGCATTACTAGAGAGTATTAAATATTTCCTCTTTATTTTTTCCTAACAGAACACACATTTTTAACATTAAAATGTTAGAGTTCCCACAACAGGTTGATTTTTCTCAATAACTCTTCATTATAAGTTTTATGCCCTGATTTGAAATTCATAACTTTTTGATTTTACGTAGATTCATAGCCAAGTATAAGGATCAGAGTTCTGAACTCTCACACTTCTGAAATACCACTTTATCATAAAAACAGGTTTGAACAATGGTCACTCAAATGACTTTCTCACATTCCTTCAATGAATTCCATGGATGCTGACACATCCCAGTGGCCCTTGATGATTTTGTTCATTTTCCCATCTGTTGTGCTTCTAAAGCACACATTTCTTATTTGCTTTGTTACTTTTTATATTTTATTTTAATTATTTATTTGACTAAATTCTTGTTTTTTTTTAAAAAAAGATTTATTTATTTGTTTATTTATACAAGAACTGGGGTACAGGCCAGATGTGTGGGAGGGTGAGAGGATTCACCAGAGAGAGTGGGGAACAGAACAGGCAGACTGAAGGAATACACTGCTGAGGGGAGCAGCAGGCGAGACAGGAGAGGTCTGCTGCACCATGTGGGTATCTCCCCGCAGGACTGGATCAAATCTGCACTGCAGAGGTGGCAGACAGCTTCACAGCACTGCACTCAACTGCCTGTGCCACCAAGGAGGCCCAACTAACTTCTTGTTTTGATTTGGTTTTCCTTGAAGAATATTTTCCATTCCCTCATCCCTTCATCATACTTCCCAAAGCTCTATCCTTAAAATGGGTGCGTGTGCACACGTCTAGAACAATGAGGAGGTGATCAATGTTTAGTGAACGAACGGCACATCCAATACTAAGCACAATTTGATAAAGTTTCGAGGTTCATGGTAGAAACCACCCGCTAACACATTGCCTACGAAGGACTGAAGTCATCTTTTGCCATTAGCTCTTTTTCCCCAGTCTCGCACTTAATCTCAGGTCACTAGGTTATAGGTCCTTTTTCCTCATTTTAATGAAAGGACTACAAGGGGAAAAAAAAAGAGCATTTGCTAATATCTGTGAGAGAACTGTGGAATTAGATACTGAAGTGAGGACAAATGAAGTTGAATAAGATAAGGTAAGTATTGTGGAATTCTGCTGTGAGTAATGTATCAAATCAAGCAGACAATGAAAAAAAGGTGGCTGTGACGATTATTGTGAGAACACGTGTTATAAAAGATGTTTGCTACAAAGTCTAATCAGATTTTATTTGCATTGGTAGGTTTCCATTGGGAGAGGATGGTCAAAGTACTGATTTATGCATCTTGAAAATAGTAAAGCAGCCCAGACCAAGGAATCAAGAAATAGGTAAATGAAAATTTTCTTTGAAAAACAAGGGGGAGGAGAGTGTCAGTGAATGTGGTGGAGGACTGTGGGTACCTTGGTGGTAGGAAATCTATAGTGACTGCACCTAAAGGTAGAAATCCTATATTGTGAAACAATAAACAAGGATGTTTAAAAAATAAAAAAGGTACATAAAATACACAAAATCTAATTAAATAAACAACTCACAAATTCCTCCTAATATGCTCCTGAAAGACTTTTGTCTTTTAGTTATTATATAACATACAGTACAAGAGATTCCTGAACTTCTTTTATTATTTGCATTTGCTACTTTCTCTGATTGTATATCAGTTCAACACGTCACAGCTAGATCCGTCTGCTCAGCCAAAATCTAGAAGAATTAAAAACTTCTTTTCTACGTTAGTATTATTGACTTAGGCTATTTTTATGTCGTATGACAGTACTGATAACATTTTAAATAGATATTCATGACAGTATTTTCTTAGAAATTTCTCTTCCTCAACACAGAAATAGAAGATCATTCAAATAAGAATATGGAGCTCTCAAAAATCAATTGATAGAGAAATACTATTTTGAAAATTGTTTATTATGATAAAATTTATTGAGAGCATTTATGTGATTTGTAACATCTATTAATGTATGTTATCACAACACACACCACCATGGTACCTACTATCTTCACTGTAGTCCATTGAATCACCTCCTCATATATACCTTTCTCCCATTCTGAGCTCCATCTTTCTGGTACCCTCAGTTCTGTAGACATAAATACCATTTGTAATAGCTCTCTTTTCTGGAAACTATGTTTGAGTGAAACACACTAAAATACTACTTTTTGAAGGACATGAAGGACATTTTAAGGCATCTTAAAATGTAAAGAATCCAATGAATGCCCCCTCATACACCACTACAGAACTCATACAAGTTAACAGAACTATTGAAATAAGACTCAGATTCATACAAGAACCCGTTCCTCTCTCTCTAGTAAGTGCTAAGAATTATATAGTCCAAAATTAGAGAATGGACTAAATAGCTCTCTCTCTGAAGAGGTGCCATATCCTGTAGTTTAAAAAAGAGGTTGAAACAACTAAAAAACATCTTTGAAGTTGGAGTGAGAGCTTCTTCTCACAGTAATACATGAAAAAGGAGCTTTACGAATACTTTAACTTGTTGCAATTTCCTATACACATAGATATGCGTACCAGACTCACACCTGGAGAAATAAGTTTGAATTACAAAATTTCAAGGATTATCTTGAATTTGAGTTTATCAGAACATGCAGGAGCAATTATCACATAGCAGATGAGAAACACCGAAGCCAAGTCATGGCAATTTTGCCTAAAAGTAACAGGAGGAAGGTTAAGAAGGGGATTTCAGCAGAAAAAGACTTAGTGAATTGAAATCACAAAATCAGGAGCTGATGGGAAAATATAACTGGTCAGGTGAAAACTCATGAATGTCCTTGAAGAGTTAGTTTTAAAGACCTGCAAAGTACAGAGAAATTCAATGTCAATAGCACCAATAAACTGTGAAGTAAGAAAATTGCTTCCCTTTTCTCTTTTATTCCCCATTCCCTTTTGCACTACAGCAGCCCACTAAATTCTACTGAGAGAGTAGGAGGGTAAAAACCAAGGCAGGAAATAGAAAACAACCATATGTTCAGTCCTTTCCTTAGGAATGCTTTTCCTCTAGAAAACTCATTCTGTTGGAAAGGACAAGATTTCCTTTTGAATGCATTTGTTAGCTTTTTTTTTTTTTTTAAGATTTATTTATTTAGGTGCAAGCAGGCCTCTCCTGACTTGCCTGCTGCTCCCCTCAGCAGTATAGTTCAGTCAGTCTGCCTGTTCTGTTCCCCGCTCTGTCTCTGGTGAATCCTCTCACCCCTTCTGTGCCTCTGGCCTGTACCCCGGTTCTTGTATAAATAAAAATTAAATCAATAAATAAAATAAAATAAAATAAAATAAAATTCATTGACATGCCAAACAGCTAATTATGTAAGATTGGGCTACTAGAATATAAGTAAAATTATTAATAATTTGTTTGTATATCAATCCCTAAACTTCATCACTGGCTATTTTATTTTTTATGTTCACAGTTAAAAATTAATGTTTATGGTAAAAAAATCACTAATGGTCGAATGAATGACTAAATTAAAATGAATGAATGAGTTATGTAAATGAATAAATAAATACATAAAAAATAAATGAAATGCACCTGAAAGAAAGGGCATCTATACAAACGTGCATAGCAGTGGCTACTTTATTCTTATTAATGTAAAAAAGGGTGTAACCTAAGCTTTCTATGATCAGAACTGAAGGGGAAAGGATAGGAAAAAAAGACTTCCACACTCAAATAGACTGTGGAACACTATATTTGAGGCTATTCAGAGTATTTAATGCAGCTAATTTAACACTATGAACTTTTTGTCTTCTTCCTGAGAATAATCTGATTTTGTGCTTCTGTGAATACAGGGTAGGAAAAATCTTGCTTTACTCAACTCCCATGCTGAGCGTGCAGAGAAATAGGAGTTAGAAGAGGAAATTGTATTGTAGAATTCAGAGTAAGTGAGAGGGTAGGAGAGAGACGGGCTACATCATTATTTGTGGGTGATACATCATCTTGGAGGACATGCCATTATGTTCATCACTTACTCTGACTTGGTCCTAGATATGTAGCAAGAAATGTACACGAGTGAATGAGTGTGTGAAAGTTAGTTTCAAAAGCTTATGAAAAGTAAGTACATGAAAAACATGGAGGCTATTTAGCCCTTCTTTTGAACTAAATATTAAAAAAAAAAAGTGAAATGATTACCCTTGATGATATCAAGTGTCATTTTCAGATGTAAAAATGGAGAAAGTCTGTTTTCATGCTTGGACAGTTATGAGCATATTGGAAAGAAAGCATTTTGTTTCCATTTGGAATTAAAGAAGGGTGTCTGTGCCAGATACAAAGCACTGCTATAACATAGAGTGTGAACACCCATTACCATTCACTTAAGCTGTCATAAATAAAAATATTTTGAAAAGCATTGATTGCATTCTACTAACAAGAAGCATTTTTCCTGCTTCCTGAAATTTTCCTAAGACCAACTAATTTTAAATCCAGGAAATACGAAGTTCTAAGATATCATTTAAAATTAGCTCCTTTTGATTTCACTCTACCTGTCTTGTGTCTACTCTGGTTTATGTGATTTTTAGCTACATGAATCTGAAGGTAGGTGTTTGTTTTGAAATTTGGTGATTTTGCCATTTGAAGTAATGAAGTAAGTCAAGAATGCAACACAACTAGGCCAATACTGAGTTTAAGAAAATGGTAACAAAGAAAGTGTGCATCAAAAGAAACAAGGGTGAGTGTCACTGCAGGCTGCAGGAAACAAGTCAGCATTTTCGCACAATGGCTTGTGCACCGAGTATACAGTAGGCATTCTTGAGCTCATTCAGGCTTGCCTATTATTAGATGCAGATGGCAGTTGTATGACAGTTTCAGGCTGATCACGAGGACTGAATTTAAATATAAAGGCATATTGCAATTCTTCTGAGGGATGCAGTGTGGCAGCCAGAGAGCAGAGCCTGAGCAATACAGGTGAGGAAGATGCTGAGAATAAAGTGACTCCTGGTGATTAATCACACATGTCAAGAAACAGCCAAGTGAATCTGCTGAATTCCACAAAATAAGGGAACTGTTGTGCCCCCGACAATACAGGACCCCCAATTCCTCTGATACCATTTACTGTGTGTGTTCTAATGAATGTGGCACTGGTAAGGGGTATTAATTGAAAAGTTAGAATTCGACAAGTATAAAATAATTTGATATTCTACAATAAAGTTGCTAATTTTATTGTAATTTAAAAATAATAAAATAAGCAATAATCATTTTTTCTACATAGTTTCAAAACTTTTTATTTTGTACTGTGTTTGGAGGTATTATTTTCAAGTGTGCTTTAGCTCCCTGATGATTATGATTCCTATTCAATCATTGTATAAGTTGAATTAACAAGTAACTTTTTGTATGTCAGTCTCCACTATCTAGAACATGGTCAAGAAGCAAGTGGGTGGGGAACAAGAAGCAAGAAGGAGGTATAGCTAGCCACACAGAGTTCTGAACTTTTACTCATTTTATTGACAATAAAGCAATAGTTGTACTTAATAGACAGCAAAGTTGTACTTAACAACTTAATTTTTTTTTTTTTTTTACTCCTATCCCACTTCTTGGTCAACAAGAAGTCAAAAGCAATATTCTTAAAAGGTCATAGAGGAAATTTCTACTTCTGAATATAAGGTAGCAGCTTGCAGCAAAATAAGTACAATCTTTGCGAAAGAAAAATCTGCCTCTGCCAGTCAGGATTTGAGGATACCAAGGAAGGAGAGGTGAATTGATGTTCTGCAAACTGCTTTAACTGTAGTACATTTGCCATTTCTTAAGGAGGCCAGAAAGGCTGTGAGGTCAAACACAGCTGCTTTTAAGAGGATGGAAAATGAGCAGAGCTTTAAATAACTTTATAATTCTGTGGAAAAAGTAGAGTTTAGAGCTATAATGATAGTCAAATTTGAGAGACCAAAATCTTAGGAAAATTAAAGCATAGAAAAGTTAAAGCAAAATCTTGTGATCATTTGCCTTTGGTACATTTGTTGGATTTTTAAACTACACATAGATAAATGCCAAAAAGCTAAAGAGAATGCTGCCTAAATAACTTATATCATGTGTGACAATCTTAAGATATTGAAGAAATTTGCAAACAAATATTGGAAGACATGGCAAGTAGCTTAAGTGTGGAATGGATCAAAGTATTCTGAGTCACTAGCTATTCAACATAAGGGAAAGTGAATACTCTGAAGCAAAATAAAAAAAGTTAGTTGGAGTTCCTATAATTATTAATGCAAAATGTTCCACAATCAAAATAATACCCAGCAAAGCACTGGAAAATAAAATATAACCCAGGAAAGAACTAGGCATTGAATTTACTAAGGATATACTGTAAAGTAAGTGTAATTTAAGTTGAAAAA